ACTTCTGGCTCCAAATATCCAAGATGGTGAAGGCTATAACACTGAACTCAAGGTTTCAAAATGGGAATCAATAATCAATGGGTGACGTGACGTCACAGTAGTTACATCCACTAGGGAACATGAGTGTACTAAAATTCACAGTTATACTTCCAATATAGGGATGCACAGTATTGGATTTTCTTTGCAAATATCCAATATGTCAATATATAACAACTTCTTTGGCTGATAACGACCAATATCGATACACTTTTTTCCCCACCTTATTTTAGTGATCATCAAGTCTCTTCTGCAGTGTAAATACCATATGCATACTTGTATCATGATGGCCCACCAGCAGATGGAGACATGAAATAGAATGCTTTCATATGTATGTAATAATCACTCATTGTGCAAAATATGAAAAAGCATGATGGCCAATTCTGATCGGCTGATACCAGTGACATGGCAATATTATCTTGCCTCCCTGATCCAATAGTGGAAGTGATCTTAGCCAAGTTCAGACAACTTAATGCAGTTATTTAAGTACCAACTTATACAATCTGCTCCTCTTAGTATGTCTTCTTCACCACTGGAACCTTAATTGTTGTATATTATGTATCTTTCTTTATTTTGTATTGTATTTCTGGTTCAAATACTCAGCTCAGACTCCAGTAGCTAAACTCGTGAGACAAATGCGCTGCAGCCTCCAAGATCTGCATCAGCCATAAGCAGCTACAACTACTTGTACCCTCTGTATGTTAAGATACGGCTAATCCTGAAGTTACCACAGTAGTAAATCTGAAATCGTTTTTGAGTCTTATCTGTGGCACCACAGTGTGTTGTTATTTCAGCTGCAGCTGGCTGTCCAGACTCGGAACAGTAATGTCACTTCCACACATATGCTTCCATCCAGCCCTTACCTTGGTAATGTGAAGTTGTTGGGAACATTTGTTTAGTTTTACAGGATTACAGTGGCCACAAATGAAGCAATTCTTTGTATATTCTGGCATTTCATTACTTTATTGGAAAATAAAGTGCCCCTCCTCAGCCCATACACATCTGATTTAAAGCAAGAAATACTGAAGTCCACAGTAAAAGCTAATTAGCAAACAACTGCCTGTCATTTACTCTGCCATGAGACAGAGTATTCTAATACCCAATAAATAAGCATTTAGCACTATACCCAGGCCTGTGTTCACTAGGGAAACTGTTCTTTTATAAATTATAAATTATAAATTATAAATGAGCTGGTGAGACAAGGCAGAGCAGATCTTTCTCTTTATGTCCATGTTCAGGTCTCAGCTGTCTTATAAAACAAGTCACATAATCTTAAAGACAACAGCAGATAAAGCGCTCATGTGGGTTGCAGTATCATGGTATCCAGGAAGGTGCCCTTTGGTCAGGAAGTGCAGTACATCTTGAAAAAACAAAATCCAAGGCAAATGGTACAAAAGTTAAAAGGCCTTTATTAAATTAAATTTATTAAATGCCCCTCCGGATGAAATTTAATGTTACAATTACCACAATTTCAGGAGGAAAAAAAAAATTAACCTACATCATTTATTCTTGGAAAATACAGCTCTAACATAAAACTGAGAAATCACTGGAGTTCATTGGTGAGTTTTCTTGACAATTTTGTGTTTTTCACTCTGCATGTAGTATTCCACTAGCTTTGATTCTCATCTTGCCAAGTTTGAAAAAAAAAATGCATGAAATACTCCAAGCCTTGTATGTATTGTTTTTATACTGGTTTCAGGCATGCCATGAAATCTGTGTTACATACGCAATATTTGTTGAATTTTCACTTCCCCATCTCGTCCAAGAAAAATTGACAACTATCTAGCACACAGTGAATCCTCAGCTCTGAGCATCCTGGCTTGAAACAAAATATTAGTGCTATGAATATGTATGTAGAGCCGCACACTCATACCATCATATACCATATACCGTGACTACTTATTTAGGCAATGAATCCTTTAGAAGAAAAATGAGATTCACAGCACCACCTCACACTGTGGCTGTGTATGCAGGCCTATATTTTTGACAGTTTTTGTAACCAAGTGTATATCAGAGAAGATCAAAGAAAGTAGGGGTTGTGAAAATTAAAGTGGGTTATTTCTTCATCTAAGAAATGATAAAGTAGACAAGATCAACAAGCACCAACATGCTAGGCATACTAGTACAGTTGTACAAATGCAGATAAGATGTTAGAGTTTGTTTTCACAAATACACACACACACACACACACACACACACACACACACACACAGGTTTTCCTCCTGTTGCACTGAAAACATAGTGCATTGAACCGTGACCCTCAACAGCAAAACAGATAATGAACCATGGCTTGTAAACTGCTTCACCCTGATCACAGTGGAAGCAGAAAGGTAATAGGTTTTAGAGGCGTGTTGCTGGAACTAATTAGTCATGCTGACCGGGAAATGTTGCACAAGGGACATGATTGGAAAACACTCAGTCCTTTTGAGAAAACCCGGCTCAAAGTGCCCTTGAGCAAGGCCTTTACTACCTAAAAGTTCCACCGGAGATGATGCTCAATAGGATAGCAGTGCTGTGGCTATGCTGGACTGTGTGACTGTGTGTGACCCTCCCTGTTTGTAGTTGGTTTTCCTAGTTAAATAAGGATTAAAGGCCTCTATGCATATCTGATTAAACTGTAATCTAATACAGAGAGTGAAGCATCAGAAGACCATTGGAACCAGGGATCAAATAACATGAGAGGGAGTGGGTAGCTTTTAAGACGGTCCCTCATGGATCACACCTAATTTAGGATTCAACATTTCAAATTATATCATTTTAAAAGAGAAGAGCAAATAGAAAAAGTAGACCAACTCTTTTCTGATAGAAGCAGTGGAGTCCTGACAGGATCGTCACTGAAAGAGGGCACTTGTTTCACTGAAGTTACTGATGTTAGGATAAAAAGACCAGGAAGTGTTCGTTTCTTATGGGGGGGCAAAAAGAGGGAAGCATGTCAAATATTTTTTAAGCACTGGGGAGGGACTATAAAAACAGTTGTAATAGTTGTTATGGTTAAATGGTTGTATCATATTTATTTTACCACAGATTTTTGGAGAAAACATGCCTTGGTTTGGACAACATGTTTTCTTCAAAATTTGCCAATATTACACTATTTATCATAGCCAGAAACTGTAAAAACAGAAAGTCTCATTGGATTTTCACAATTCAGCTGGTCCTTGGACACATCATGTGCAAGGACCTTCAGTCAGAAAAAAGCATGACCAAATCTGAGCGTAAAATTGTAATATTACATCAAAATCACTTTGTTCTATGACTCATTTAAAATTTGACCAAAAATACACCATTCGCACTAACTAAGCAGTACGGGTGTGCCATATCATCTCGTTCACAATTATACCGGTTTAATTTTTAATATCATGTAGAACAAATCATATCGTGATACAATATTTCAATTTGTTGACACATTGACGCCACTTTTGTCCAGAGCATCAACAAGCATGGCTTAAAGTGAAATTATTCCCGACTCTGCAGTGGTTCCATAAAGAGGAGCAGCTTCAGTAGTGGGGAATAAAACTGTGGCGTGTGAGGCCTGGGCGTCCTGAATGTGTGCTGTTTACAGCCCCGCACAGAAATGGCAGAGCATAAAGTCCAGGTGGAAAAAAAAGACAACTCAATCATTTAGGATTTTGTAAAAGAGAAGGAAATCACCTGTTGATTATATAAATAGATCCCAGGGTACATTTTTGTATTTTGGAACTGATCAAATGTGTAATTTGTGGTAGATTTGTTTTTGTTGTTCTATCAGTATTGTATACAGAATCTGGATCTCACTCTGAGTTACTGTTATTGTTTACAAACTGAAGAAATTAGAGATATTGTTTGTTAAGTTTTAACTGAATATTTGAGAGTAATCTGTTAGGTTGACATGTAAAACTATACTTATTTTGTTGCAATTCTATTTTCTTAGATTAATAATAAAATACTTTTTTTTACTAATCTGTCATATCATCAAGAATATCAGTATCGAAAAAATACCCTGAAATATTGTGATAATATTTAAGGGCCATATCACCCACCCCACTATGCAGTATGCACGTCAAGAGTGAAAAACCAAGGCTTTATTAAAATCCAATATTTCGCCATTAACTTTTAACTTTCAAAAAAATCAAAGGGTAAGTTTGAAAAATCTTATAAACAGTTTATGGTGGAGGGAGGGTCGTGCATTTCCCACCTGTCACTGGGGAAGGCTCAAAGAAAAATATCTGTAGCTTCAGAGAGGGTAAAAAAAACTACTAGAAAACAAAAAAAAGAAATCACACCGCAGCAGCCCCCTCCTCTGATAGGTAAAGAACAGTCTCTAATACAATGAATGGTTTTTAGGCTGACTGAGACACAACTATAGGCAGACTTCATCACAGACTCTCTCATGCACCTCTCGTGTGTGTGAAGAACACCATAAACCAGACTCTACCTTTACATCGACATATCTCACGTAGGAGTAGGCCTATCTAAGGTTGGCAGTTTAATGTTTTCTTTGTCTGATGGTCTGCATAAATCTATTGAAACATGAATTTAAAAACGACTTCATATGGTTTCCTGGTGAATGTGGCACCATCAGATCCATCATCAGATTGTATAAGTTGGTACTTAAATATTACTGAGATGCTGCTGTTATGTGTAACGTTATGTTACACGGATTCAATGCGGCGCTAAATTGCCCTATTTCTGAATGGGCTTCTGCATCCATTTCTCTCACTACGGGAGGATTACCCAACTCCATGCAAGCCATGACTGGCTGGGAAGACGTTATTCCCGTTTCAGCCTATACCCCCCTCACACACACCACCTCCACTCACTCTCACAATACACACATGCGCGCAGTCTAACGTTAGCCGATTTCACTGTCTGACCACTAAACATCAACTACAACTCTATGTAGCGCTATCTAGCTAAAAAATGTGAAAGCATTCAAAGCACACAGCACGAGCATGGAGCATGAATGTGCTAAATTAAAGAAAAAGTACCTGTATTTCTGTGGTCGAAGCTGTGGTGGTTGACCACCGTTGGTTGGTGAGATGAGCTTAGCTTTCGCTGTCTCCGTCTGGCGCTTCACCGCTGTTAAATTCCCTCCTCATCACAGCTTAACCCAGTGGGCTCAAACACGTCAGGCACAAAGAATTTGAGAATATTTTCCAGTTTCTGTCCAAGCTGAAGAAACCGCGCCAGTACACCAGTACAGTTCGGCTGACCCCAAACAAAAAAGGCTCCCCCGGGACAACAAGGCTCACAGGCAGCCTTCACTCACTTGCTGTTCTCTTCTGGAAAATAAAGACTTCTATCGTCCTCCAAAATGCCTTCCTCTTCGAATCAAAAGTCCGAATACATATGCCTTCCGCTGGAGTCACGGGACGATATTTCCAAATTCAAACTTATCGAGACGCTCTCCTCTGTGTGCTACTGAGCGGAGAGCAGAGCACACCTCAGAGCGGAGTGGAGAGTGGAGACTGCCTGGAGCACACAGCGGCGCTATCTCTGTGCTGCCTTCACGTGCTGTCGGAAACGTGGAGAACCGGCAATTCCGACCATGATAAAATAGGACAATTTAGCAATTTGCAATCATATTTCAGTTGTCAATACCCGTGGTTTGTCTACCCCTGAACTAAAATGGTTAAGATTATGAAAGTCACATAATGAGTAAATTTAACATTGATTCGATAGCCGAGGTAAAGAGCATGTTTCTCCTACTCATGCTGCTGCTGCTACTGCCACATAAAATATATTACAAGCAAGGGCAACGTTGTAGAGGGACAGTGGGACTGATTACCAAGGGCCCCAATAGAGTTCTCCAGGGATGACGTCTGTCTGTAGGCTGATGTTGGCATTGCATAGTTTACTCGTCAAAAAGCCTATGGAATTTTTCCACTGGATTTTGGATTGTTGCCGAAAATAAGCTCTGTGGCAAACAAATTACTGTTTACGGTCCTTACACGTTTTGTTCAGTAAGATAATCTTCACATATGATCAACGCTTCCATGATTATTGAAGTCTGAATGCAATCACTATAAGTAAAAAGCTAATGTTAGGCTGTAAACAAAGAACACTACAGACACATGACTCAGTGTCATCACCACAACAGGACTGTAAAGCAGTGTTCGGCACGGCTCAGCGTGGTGACATTCTGTAATCTCATTTAGTCACTTGTTAGCAATTGTCGTTTTAAGACACATTAAAACTTCAAAGTTCACAAATGAGGTATTTACTAGGGAGTGGGAATCACAGGATCCTCGATGCAACATTATCAAGATACTTAAGTCACGGTACAATATTATTGTTATTTTAGATGTGTTGCAATATATTGAGTATTGCAATTACAAATGTTGCAATATATTGTGATTAAGTATCTTTTTTCAACAGAAAATTATAACCTCAATGGAAAACTTAGTCTTTTATCTAATGAGATCAAGGTTTCAGTCTGTTCATCTCATTTTAGTCATTTTTATTGTCACAAATTGTATCTAGTGGACAGAAAAAGATACTGATTTCTTTATTCTAGTAGGCTAACAGATGTTTTATTTGAATGTGTGATATTCATAATTTCTGTAGCTATTTAAAAAAAGATACTTGGAGTCCATGTATCAATATGATATTGCTTTGCAAAAATATTGCAATACTATGTTGTATCGATTTTTTTCCCCCACCCCTAGTATTTACTGGCATAAATACTGACAGACCTTATTTCAGGCATCTGACCAAAAATCCGCTGACTTTGAGACAAGGGAACCGTGAGAGGTGAAATGCTAACTCATTTCCAGGTTTTGGGACTCATTCCTGGCGTACTCTATGTGACGGGGAGCCTCAAAAACCTGAAATGGAAAAATTGTTTTTGTATGCTGTATTTTACTTTTACGTAATTAGTGCCATAACTAAGTTAAACTGGCTAAATAAATTGGTTGAAAGACTGAACTTTGTATAAAAAACAGTGAAAGCTGTCTGAGGCCCCTCCTACCCTGCAAAGGTGCAAAATGGTTTAGTTCACCCCTGCACTAGGATTTGTCCATAGATTTCAATAATACCTAGATACTGAATGCCAAGATGGCGCATATTCACTCCAGCGGACTTGCTCCCTTGGCACGTATGCCCAAAAAGGTTTTTTGCTAATGGGTTTATTTCAGCGCAGACGAAGAGCATGTTTCCTCCACTCATGCTGCTGCTACTGCACCATAAAATATCTTACAAGAATTTGATTTCCAAAATAAACCAACAATCACATTAAACTGTAACAAGGGTCAGTTTTGCCAAAACCAAAATAAGCAAATGGCTTTGTAGTTCTAAAATATTTAAGCATGGCTGGATTATCAGTCTAATGCTAGCTAATATGCTATGACCAACCACTTATTTACACTTGAAAAGAATCTTAACTGTAAATTAAATAACCAACACTATAAAAGCGAACATAGCTGTTTCTGTGTTCTTTGTGTAAAACATGACATAAAGCTCTTCTCTCTGGAGTGATGGTCATGTATGAATGCTAATGACCCAGAGCATTTGACCATATATTTGGCTGCCAGATCACATAAAATGGCTTAGATGGAGGCACAGCATATGAAGTTGAGAGTTATGGACATGGGAGGTTCCCCTGGAGGCAGCATAGAAGTAGCGAAGTGCAACCCCCCCAAAAACATGTTTGTTTGTTTTTTTACAGGAGGTTAATCCACCACTACTATGACAAGTGAGAAAAGCTGAATTCAACTGTGAGGAAGAGGGATGGGCAGGGGCATACTTGTTTTCACAAAAAGATAGTAGCCTTTGTGTTAAGATTTTTTTTTTCTTTTTTAAGGAATTTTCATGCTCTTGGCTTTCCTTACAAACATATTGTAAGGCAAAGTCTTTCTTTACAATAAGCCAGTTGCGTTAGTATATAGTGTTATAGAGCAAAAAGCAAACTGTTATTTAGTATTACAATATGCAGGTCCTATGAAATAACTTGCATGTATGAAAGATAACATTTTGACTCAATGCTTACATGGGCTGGCAGTGTGGCTGCATCAACACATTATTTAGTTTTCCCCAACAGTTTAGTCTTTGTACTGTGTAGCTTATTCAGCTACACAGTACATGTAACTACATTTTTGTCCCAATATTCACCTCACCAGTGTCACTCACACACCTCTGTTCTTTGTTTTTAGCCAGCAGCACTAAAAAGAAGCTGATCCTGGATCATACTGTTCTTTGAAACAAGCTCTTTATATAAAATCTTAAACTGAAACTAGCTATATTACACACACACACACACACAGAAAATGACCTGAGGCATAGAAATAAATCTGCAACAGTTGGACTAGCAATGACCAAAACCCATATTTTGGAATGCCCAATGACCTGAAACAAGCCATTCATGCAAGAATTTCCAAATGATCAGTGATCTGAAACAGTGCTGTAAGGAGGAACACATTGGCATGTAAGATGTGATTTTTAGGGATGTCCTTCAATTATTATACTCTTATTTTGGGGCCAGGTACTGGCAGTATTGTGCTTGTGAAGTGCAGGTAGGTAGGCAGGTTGACAAGTAAATCTACAGTGAGCTTTACAGAGCCACCAAGTAATGGGAGAGCCAGTTTTTCCCGTTCACCCCCATTTCAGTCAGCATTGCAGTGTAGCATCAGCCTTTCAACAATACTTAAAATATTCCACATTATGAGTATCATTCAATTTTTTAAATGATGTTCACACTGTTTAGACCCCTTTCAACTATTCCTATCACTTTTTTCTTACACACAGCATTGCAGTGTAGCATCAGCTTTTCAAGGACCTTGAAATATTCTACATTGTGAGTATCATTCAACTTTTCAATTACATTCATACTAATTAAACCTGTTAATACTTTTCCAACCATTCCTACTTCACCTTTTTCTTACACACTTCAGCCAGCATTGCAGTGTAGCTTCAGCTATTCAACATTAAGCATTCACAGCCACAAAAAGCCACAAAAGTCCCCCCCTAAAAATATAAATATCTGTTTAAGAATATGCTTTATTGTAAGTATTTTCATTGTTTTACTTTAATGTCAGGCAGTGATTTCCAACTGGAAAATGAGGCCATCACATTGCTCTCTTCAATTCCAGACTCACCAAAGTCACACCATAGCACAAACTATTTAACCAACTGAAGCAGCGGTAGACCAGCAGCTCCCATGTTCAGCGAGCTAGAATTACTGTGTTTGTCAATGTAGTCTGGTGGCCATGATGAGAGCATACATGGGAAACTGAAGCCATTAATGACTTCCTCCTCGAAATTGGCTGTCTAATTGAAAGGTAACATGCTGAAAATATTCTTAATATAACATACACTTAAAATTATATTGATTTTTTTTAAGTGGGCCTTTTTTAGGTGGCTAAAATACGTTTTGTTGCTGACCCCTCCACAGCAGTATTGCTTAGATCCATGTCAGACTCCAGCCTGCTTGACAAAAGAAAAGGGAGGGAGAGCTTTACCATGCTTACAGGATTATTATTATGCTGCACAATTGAAACTTTTAGTATGTTGGTGTGTGCCAAACTATGGATTTCAGTGGAAGACTTTGTTTATTTATTTCCAATTGTTTTTATTAAGTTTTCAATAGAAAAAAACAAAAACAAACAAAACTGACACACAGAGCCAGAAGACACAGTTGCCTGAACGCTCTACATGAATACAATATCCTGCGTGTATCGAATATAACATATACATACAAACTTCACGTACCTACATACAAGTTTCTTGCTTCAGTAGTTTGTTACATTCTCAATACCCAAACCATGTACAGGTGGCTGCATAAAAAAAATAAATATATAATTTAAAAAAAAGTCAACAAGAGAAAAGAGAGAGAAAGAAAAAAGAGAGAGAGAGAGAGAGGGGGGGGGGGGGGGGCTAGAGATGTGGATAGCTACTGATCTAATGTGCTTGCGTCAAATTCATTTGTAAAATATCCTAAAAAGGCATGCCAAGTTTTTTGAAACCTTTTCACCGATCCCTGAATAGTGCATCTGATTTTTTCTAACTTAACAAATGTCATCACCTCGCGAACCCAACGTGAATGGGATGGAGATGTGGTGGATCGCCAGTTAAAAAGGATAAGTCGGCGGGCTAGTAATGTTGAGAATGCTGTTAAGTCTGAATGATGTTTGGATAGCCCTGAAGACTTTGGAAATTACTCAGGTAGATATTCCAATACAGACTTTACTCGGTAACAAAAGTCAGGCCAAGAGGAGCTATAGTAAACTGAACCAAAGGACTTTATTTTCTATGAGGTGTTGAGGAAATTGCATTTGGAGAAACAGGAAGGGATCTTGAGTTGGGTAGCATTTGACCTAGGATTTGAACTTGCTAGGTTGGATGGGAGATTTAAACTGTGGGTCAGAAGACAGAAAATTTCAGAGCTATCAGGATATATCAATCACATTTGGACTAGAAAAGCAGGACTTCAACGGATACC